AGCTAATTGAGTCTACCTTTTTTAAATTCACGTACATAGCTATTTTTTCTAGTTCTTTTTCTATTTATTTTTTGGCTTGCATAAATTAATTAGGGTTGACTTCTGAGATTCCCCATGTGATCTTAATTAAACTTCATTTGTTTCATACATATTCCATTAAGACTTCAAATTTCATATTTAAAGACCAATGTTAATAAGATGAGAAACACAACTTTATATATTATAAGTTTATGTTTTTATATTTATTCGATTTGATATTTTTTTCTTAACATATTCTCGCAAGATAATGACTCTTTTGAGAACACAAATCATCTTATCCGTGTGCTCATTTAAATCCTAGCTGATATCATACTAAAGTCTCAAATTACATCTTAAAATGTGAATCTTATTAAGAGAAATAACCTAAAATCTTATCTAAAATCCTGCAACTCACACAAAATGGAACCTCGGCTAGGATCACGTGTCTTCCTTGCTCACTATTGCCTCACCCAAAGTGCCTATCATTGCTATGACCCGTCTGCTAAAAATTCTATATTTCTCCATATGTGGATTTTGTCGAAAATATATTTCCCTTTTACCTCTATAACATCATATTCTCCATGACCAAGTTCAAATGCTGGCTGCCTCACATGCACTCTCACTGTGCTGCCACCCACCCACCAGCTCCGCAGCCAACCTATCCACATTCCGACTCAATCACACAAGATGTAGTCTATACCAATTCTCCACTCACCATTAGTATGCATCACGACGTTATTGCATCTAGCACCACTATGTTTGATCCTTCCTCGAATATGTCAGTTTATATTTTTATATTAATTCGATGTAATATTTATACTTAATATATTCATTCCAAAACAGTTAGAGAAAAAATTAAAAATAAAAAAGAATGCAACCAAGAAATTATGTATGCAATGAGTAGGTCCTTGGCATAATATTTTGGTGGCCATAATTCTCAACCTTTTATTTTTGCGACACCTGGGTCTAGTTGATGATTTTACCTTTATTTTTAGGGTAATTACATTCACAGGTTTTTATAAATATAAATATGATAGAAACGAGTAATGAATAAGTGAGTAATATTAATTGTGAATTCTACAAAATGTATCCTTAAAATTAAAATTTGACTTTGAAAAGTAAAATATAAGCTACTTAAATCAATTTTGACCTTGCACATATATGGGAAAACCCCGTGACTTTGAAAAGGGTTAGAGAGTGGAACCCCACTGTCCGAATGCAGACAATTTCGAATTAGTTACAACTAATTTCCATTTCAAAATAGTTTGCATGTGGACAATTTATACTTAGACAGCCATAGTCTATGAATTTTGGGCAAGTAAACGAGGATTTATATATGGTCAACTAAAAATATTGTTTGACATATTAATATAATTTAATATGATTCTTAACAACCGCTAATCCTCAGACACTTATGTTATTATATATATGTTTAAGAGTTGATTCATATCTGTATTGTATTTGAACCATCACTTTTAACTTCATACGAAGAAAAATTATTCATTAGGCCAGAGCCTCTACACTTTACAATCAGAAATTAGTCCGATTTTATATTTAGTGAAATACGTACAGGAGAGCTTTTGAGGTAATTCAACTACAATATTATTCATTTATTTATTTTTCTTATGATCGGTAGTTAATCGAAAGTACAATTTTCTATTAAATGTTATCATAATATATCATCAACCATCCTAGTATGTACCAACGTTCTTGTTTACATTCTAACTCGACCACTTTTTTAATCAATACCTAACTATGAGTTCTCAAACAAAACAAAAATTAATTCACACAGATTTGTATTTTTGAGAGATACAAAATATGTCTGACATTGTTATACTTGATTGCATAGTTTTAAATCCCTTCTTTTTTTTTTTAATCGATGAGAGAAAGAAGTAAACTAAATCCCTGGATGAATTGCTTTACATTTTGCCTCTGATTACTTCAATTGGCATTGAGTGTACGATTCCATTCTATGTCACAGGTTTAGCATTCCATTATGTTAACTTCTGAGTTTGAAAATGAAAATGAATTTATTTGAAAGACTGCTTATAAAAAGAACTTTTTACTTAGAATTTTATGATTGTGACTTGACTAAATGGGACGTGAGAGGTTGTGCATAGGACATATCTTTGAGGGGAATTCGTTAAAAGGCCTAGTCATAAGTTGTTCATTTTTCTGTGTAAAAAGTTTCCAAGTCTTGCAGAAGTTTGTAAGATCTAGCTAGAATCATTAGTCTAGATTATGTGAAGCAACTTGTTGCTCCTGGGATACTAAGTTCCTGGGTTGTTTGACATAACTTTTGATGAAAGTTTTAACAGATTTTAATTGACATATTTTGCTCCATTGTTTGCCTTACCAGCTGAATGGCACGTAGAAACAGAAGACAGAGGGCAAATGAGAGGAGAAGAAAAATGAAAACGTGTGAATCGGAACCAGAACTAGGAAGCGATGATGAGTCAGAGCTGTCTCGTGAAGATTCGGACCCTACCATGGATACTCATATTCATCGTAGCAATCCACTTGTGGTTGAAGCACAAGTCCAGCAGCTGAAAAACATGCATAACCCGATTGAAATCAAAGTTGAAAGTCCAATTTCCATTGCCAACGCCAATTCCAATGCACAACATCTGATTGTTCATCAAAGTAAGTTTTTTGAAGTTTGTTTTTCACTTCATGACATGAGCAAACTAAATACATGTGTACA